ACTACAAGATTTAATTTAGGTAACATTCTCAAAATGACAGAATTTTAAAGATGGAGAACAAGTCAGTGGTTGCCAGGGGTTAGGGATGGTGGGGGAGGGGTGGGTGGCTGTGACTGTAAGGGGGTAGCCTCAGGGAATCTATGGTGAAGAAACAGCACTGTATATTGATTGCCATGATGATTTCACAAGTCTACACATAACAAAATGACACAGAATTAGACACAAGCATTGCGCCAATGTCAATTTCCTGGTTTCAATACTGTCATATAATTATGTAAGATGTAACCATTGGGGCCGGCCCGGTGGCGCACTGCTACAGTGCGCTGCTTGGGAAGCGCGGTGGCGCTCCCACCGAGGGTTCGGATCCCACATACAGACCGGTTCCCGCTCACTGGCTGAGCGAGGTGTGGGGGCAGCACCGAGGGTTGCGATCCCGTTGCCGGTCCCGGTCCGGTGCGGGCGCAACACTGAGGGTTGCAATCCGTTGCTGGACACGAAAAAAGAAAAAAAAAAGAAAAAAAAAAAAAAAAAAGATGTAACCATTGGGGGAGACTGGGTGAAGAGTACATGGGACCTCTCTGTGCTATCTGTGCAACTTCCTGTAAATCTATAATTGCTTCATAATAAAAAGTAGGGAAAAATCACAGAAGAACATCCTGTACTTGAATCTCTGGTCACATCTGTTTTCTTTAGGATAAACTACCTGAAACAGAATTTCAGGAGTAAAGGGTTTATGCATATGAGGGTACTTCAAAAAGTTCATGGAAAAAGGAATAAAAGATATTTGAAGTATCCTTGTATTTCAGGTTATTCAAACTGCCCTACTGAAAGACTGTAAAATTACATTTTTCACCATTAGTGCTTGAAAATTATGTCCCACACCATTGCCAGCAGTGGACGCTCACGTTCACATTCATCTGTGCCAACCTGCTGTGCAATAAAACAGCACTGGCTCATGAGCACCCCCCGATGACTGGCATGACTGGAAACGGTTCTACATTGATCTACATTCTCATTTACTTGTGAACTATCATTCATATTCTCTGTTCAATTTTATTTTGGGGGGTTCTCTTTGTCATGATACATAAAAGCTACTTAGACACTTAAAGATATAAACTCTCTGTTAACTTTATATATGATAAATTTTTCCCTTACTGGTCATTCCTCTTTTAAATGTAAGAAAATTGTAATGGGTAGAATTGTGTCCCCATAAAGATAATGAAGCCCTAAACCCCAATATCTCAGTATGTGATCTTATTTGGAAATAGGGTTATAGGGAAATAGGGTTTTGCAAACATAAGTAGTTAGATGAGGTCATACTGGAGTAAGGTAGACTCCTAATCCAATATTGATATCGTTATTAAAAAAGGGGGTGAACAGACATGCACACAGAGAGAAACTATATGAAGATGAAGACCAAGTTGGGTGATGCTTCTACAAACCAAGGAACACCAAAGATTGCCAGCAAACCACCAGAAGCCAGGAGAGGCCTGGGACAGATTCTCCCTCAGTCCTCAGAAGGAACCAGTCCTGCTGACACTGTGATCTCAGACTTCCAGCTCCAGAACTGTGAGACCATAAACTTCTGTTGTGTAAGCCACTCAGTGTGTGGCTCTTTGTTATGGCAGCCCTAGAAAACTAATAGACAAATTATGACAGCTTCCAATTTAATTGAGATATTTTTCTTTTGTGGATTTTCTATTTGTTCTGCTACTCAAAAAGCACTTTCCTATGACAAGATTCTAAAAATATGGGTGTGTTTTTGATATCATGCTTTACATTATACAATGTATTCAAAATATATATTGATGTATAACACCAAATAAAGAAAAATTAAAGAATTAACCAATTATCTCAGCACCATTTATTAGTAACTTATCTTTTCTTCACTGATGTAAAATGCCAGTATTACTATACAGTAAATATCTACATATATCTGAGTTTATTTCTGGATGTTGTTTCATTGACACTGCTTGCAGAATATTTTAATTACTATAACTATATTACATTTTAAAATCTAGAAATAAAATTTCAGCATTAGTATGCTTTCCCTTTTTCTTACCAATATTTTCTTGGTTATTCTCACTCATTTGTTCCTCCAGACAAATTTTAAAATAATATTGTCAAGTGTTCACCAAAATCTCTTTAGCATATTGATAGCAATTGCATTAATTTTACAAACAAAAAAAAAGAATTGATAATTTTACAACATTCACTTTTCCCATTCAGGAACTTCATCTCTCTCCAAATTTGTATTTCCCTTTATAAAGTTTTATAGTTTTATTTGTATAGGTCCTGCACATTTCTTTTTGAGGCTTATTCTGAGGATATTTTGAAATAGGTTAATAGTTTGGAGGAAATCTCTTTTTCAATTATATTTTGTAAATGATTATTTCCAGTGTGTACAAAAGTATATAGATAAATATTTATATATGTGAATGTGTATATCTTATTTTATCTAGATATTTTGAAATTGGGCCACTTTCCTGAGTGTTTATTAGTTTAACAGTTTCCTAGTTGATTTGCTGAGACTTTTCAAGAAGACAAGCATATCATTATAAATAAGTTTCTCTCCTCCTTTCTAATACTTAAGGCTACTTTCTTTTCCTAGCTTATCACATTAGCTAGAACATCCAGAACAATACGAATATTCTTCTATTTCAAAGTTACACTAAGTATATTTTCTTTTTAATCATGAACGGGTGTTGAAGGCAAAACTAATCTACAGAGACTGAAGCTGGATCAGAGGAGGCTGTGGTGGAGGGGTGGACAGACTGGCCTGCAGAAGACACAGGAGCTTTCCAGGGGATGGAAATACCCTATATCTCGACTGGTATTGTAGTTACACAGTAGCATATATTTGTCAAAAGTCACTGACTTGTACACTTAAAACTTGTGAGTTTTTATTGTATTAATTTATACCTTAATACAGTGATTTTAAAAAATAGAGAATGGGTAACGAATGCCTTTGAAGGTTCTCCTGTGATAATGTGGCTGTCCTCCTTTGGCAGACAATGAATTACGAATGAATTTGGCAGAGTAATGAATTATACTAATAGTTCTTTTTTCCTCCCATGGTTTATGTATTTTAAAAGAATCAAAACACTAAGATATGATCATTGTACAGAAGTTTTTAAAATACAGTTAAGCATTATGAAATAAAAACATAACACCTGAAATGCCCTCATGGCAGAGATTACTATCGATAATTTTTCCCTCCTAAACACTGACCAAAATAATCATGCCTTCATGTGTGCATATGTATGTGTGTGCATGCGTTTGTGTGTACGTTTGTCCACTTTATCAGCAGCTTAAAACATTTCAATGTCCTACAAGGCTTTACATGATCTGGCCCCACATGTTAGTTTCCTCTGGCTGCTTGCTGTGGATTGAATGTCCCCCCAAACTCACTGAAGCTTAAGTTGTGTCCCCCAAAGTTCCAGGTATTGGAAACTTGGCCCCCACTGTGACAGTGTTGAGAGGGTGGGAAATCCTGTTATGATTACTGAAAGGTGGGGCCTTGAAGAGATGATTAGATTGTAGGACCATGCCATAGTGAATGGATTAATAATGGTGGTCAGGGTGTGGTTCTGAGGGCTTTAAAAAGAGAACACATCAGTCTCTCTCTGCTCCACCATTTCTGCCATGTGAGACCCCTGGGTCACTGTCACCACCACCAAGACCCTCACCAGATGTGTTCCCTGGACTTTGGATTTCCCAGCCTCCAAAACTGTAAGCAATCAATTTCATTTTATGAATCACTCAGTTTCAGGTGTTTATGTTATAAGCAACAGACATGGACTAATACACTTATACTATAACACATTTAGTGGCTTAAAACAACAGAATTCTATTCTTTTATGGTTCTAGAGGTCAGGAGTCTGAAATGAGACTTATGGGGTCAAAATCAAAGTGTTGGCAGAACCATGCTCCGTCTGGAAGCTCTAGAAGAGAAGCTGTTTCCTTGCTGTTTCGCATAGAGAGCTGCATTTCTTGGCTCATAGCCCTCCCTCCATCTAAGCAAGGTGCACATTATGTTCTCTCTGGACTCTGCTTCTGTCACGTGGCCTTCTACTGTCTGCAACATACTTCTGCCTCCCCTTTATAAGGACCCCTATAATTACACTGGGCCCATCTGGAAAATCCAGGAGCTCTCCCTTTTCCAGGTTCTTAATTCAATCACCCCTGCAAAGACCCTTTTCCATACACAGTGACATCCATACATCCCAGAGATTAGGACCTGGATATGTTTGGGTGACACAGTCCAGCCACTCATCCCACCTCTCTCTCCGTCCAGCACCCCACCCCACCCCCACCCTCTGCACATCTGCCACGTTGCTCTTCTCAGTTCCTTGAACACACCATACCTCCCCTTGCCACAGTCCTTTTCACAAATGGGATGTTAAATGGACAACAGAGAAAGGAAGCGGCCATTCCGTGTATCAGAAGGAAAAGGATTTCAGTCTCCTGGGCCAGCTGGGAAGGAGTGGGAAGAGGTGGCAAAGCTAGGAACCGTGCTGGTTAGAGGAAGACACCTCCAGTGATGGGGTATTCAGGGCATCATTGGGGAGAACAGAAACCGCTAACAGGGACTGTTAACTTGGGTGATTAAAACCCTTCCTGTCTCTCTACAAAATTCACCATTGGGACCGCACAGCTTGTAGGGCTTCGCACATTCGGACTGTGAAGGGGCCAGGCTCAGGATGCATGTGCTGTGGGGTGAGCAGGGTAGCAGCAGACTCAAGGGCCAGGGACATTCAAGACCAAGGGACAGGCAGGCTGAGGGAGAAGTGAGGTGCACACAGGGCTTGGCTTGGCCAATCTAGCCATGGAAAAATGGGATGGCAGGCTGGGAGGGTGACCAGGGACAGCACTATGAGACAACAAAACCTGACAACTCTGTCTTCAGAGAACCCAAGCCCCCATCCATGAGCCTCTGAGGAGACCAGAGTGGGGAGCACGTCCATCCCAGGGGGCCCTAGAAGCAGGCGTCAACTTACAGCTGTGGAGAGCCGAGACGCCAGCGTCATCTCCAGGTTCCCCTTCAGGCCCACCAGGGGCGGCACCAGTGTCAAAAGCTCTCTGACCTCCATGAACACGGGCCAGTGCTGATAGGAAAAGAATAGGTGGTGAAACACACATTGGCATATTTCTGGAAATTTCTTGAGAGAAACTCCCATAATTTCTTATAAAATGAATAAGTAAGACTAAGTACTTTCTTAAACGACTTTCAACTAAACACAAAATCATGATGAAGCTATGAAATCTTCTTAATACCATTTAGTGGAGTTGCACCAGCATCACAAGCAAGCCCCTCTTTCTCTGGCCCTGAGTGGATGGGAAAACGGGGGACTGGGCCAGGTCAGAGGCCAACTGCTGTGTCCAGCCTGCAGTCAAAGTATGGGGGATTTCTCATAAATTGGGAAACCTGGTAACACCTGGCGAGACCGTCTGGGGCTCAGGAGTGACACTGCTTTCACTGGGCCTGCAAACCACAGGGCACCACAGGCTCTGCCCCCCTCGGCTGCCAGGCACTGAGGCTGACAGTAAGTCAACACTGAGCACCTTGTTGGGCTCTGGATTTTTCAAAACAGAAAAATCTATCTGATAGAGACTCTATGCCTCTAGCAAGCAAATAAATAAATATATAAATAAATAAAAGAATGAAAGGGATGCACATTTCAAAAAAACTGAAAGACAAAAGAATCATTTTCACCTCCAAGAATAAATTTTATCGTTTAACATGTAATTAGATGTTCCCCTAAGTCAGCTTTTAGTATCCCATCCGACCGTACTGATTTATTTGGTCTGCCTGGCCCCTATAGATATCTGTGACCCCTACCCTAGAGACTCCTCCTGGTTTTGGAATTCTAGACCTAAAAACAATTCCCTGCTGTGTCAGTGAGGAGACAGGCAGCCTGGGGTCTTTCTCTGTCCCCTCAGACAAGTGTGCAAAGGTATACAAATCCACATGGCCTCTTGGGGACCCAGGACAGTCCCTGCGAGCAGCCTGGCCACGTCTTTCCAGGCACGGGGGTAAAGTCATTGGGCCAGAGGCCTTTAAGGCACCTTCATGCTCTCAGATCAAAGAAAGATGATCCATTGTTTACAGCTCCCTCTCTCCTCAATTTCCCCCTTTACCCTATCTATGAAGCTATGAAATTCATATTCCAGTCCCAGCCCTGATGGAGTTCTGAGCCTGCCCTCAGCTCAGATTCCAGGGGAAAACCACTTCTTGGGTGAGGGGGCAGTGCCTCCCTGTCCTCAGTGCAGCTGTCCTCTCAGCCCTGCAGCCTCCAGAGCACGGGTGGGGCTCCCTCCACACTGTGACCGGCTGACCATCACGCATGACACCGTGCTTCCAGGTAGCAGCCCCCGCCACCCTCTCTGTGGGTGGCACAGTCCTCCCTGCAGTGTGTCTGAGGCAACTGCTCTGCCAGGCACAGCTCTGCACTCTCTCCCTCTGGCCTCCACTGTGGCTCCTCTGCCTCCTCCTGACCTCTCAGTACTGACTCTCCTGCAGGCTGCATGCTTGGTTCCCCTTTCTCCCGACCTGCTCCCTTCCAAGGCCTGCATTACCTTCCATGCACACCTCGTGCCATGCTCAGGCGTGCTGAGAGGAGGGATGTCTTCCTGTGCTCTACCTTGAGCGAGGTCCCAGTTGTAAAGGACTGCAGACCAAGTAGGGACAATTGACAGGACAGAGGGGCTCAGGGTTGTGCTCCACACAAGGCAACCGTGGAAGAGGTCAAAAAGGGAAGACTCAGGACCCGGTGGCCTTAGGGAAGGGGTGACAAGCCCTCAGAGCAACTCCAGAGGTGAAGCTACCAGGGAGAAGTGATGTGTATCCAGGTTGCCACGAGCTTCCTGATGGTGAGCTGGTCGGTATGCAGCCGGCCACCCCAGCTCCAAGAGGGGTTGAGTATCCCGTCCACTGAGGTGTGCAAGCAGAGGCCACCTGGAGGCACCAGGAGCCAGCACTCAGAGGCCAGGTGGCCTGGCAGGAAATGACCCCCCTCTCCAACTTGGAGACAGGCGCACAGGGAGATGCTGGGTGGCCTTTAGGAAGGAGATGCCATGTCCACTTAAGAACATGAAATGCTATCTAGATGTTGTCGTGGGTTAAAAAATTTATTTAAGGGGCTGGTCAGTTAGCATGGTTAGTTAAAGCACAATGTCATAACACCAAGGTCAAGGGTTCAGACCTCCATACCAGCCAGCCACAAAAAAAAGAAAAAGAAAAAAAGTGAAAAGGAAATAGTTTTCATAGATGCACAGAGAAATGTTGATAGAAATTATGGACACCCTTCCTGTCACTTATGCATATTTTCTAGTTTCTCCAAAATAACACACTAAATCTATAATAAGCATTTAAGTAGACAGAGCAAAAACCCCTCAATCATTCAAACACGTTACTTGAACCAAGCCCAGGGTATAAACAAAGAGGAGTGAACACCTCTCAGCAAACACCTCTACCAGATGGAGGCCGCCACACCTCTTGCTCGCCAGCACCTGCCCCAGGCTCTGAGCCTCGTCCTTCCACCAAGGAGCTGCACAGGGATCCTGGCGGGGTGGGCCCATCACAGCTCTGCCTGGAGCCAGCAATAACTGTCACCCAGGGGAGACACAACACACACGCACCCAGTCATCTGGTCCTCACAACTCTGTGGGGTGGCTGCTTTCATTAACCCTGTTTTACAGATGGGGAAACTGAGGCAGAGAGTGACTAAAGAGTCCCCTCCACTGGTGAGAGGCAAACCCCACCTACCGAGCCTGCATCCAGTGAAGAAGTGGTTTGAGCTCTCTGGGCCAATGAAACTCACACAAGGTAACTTGTGGAGGGTGGTAGAATCTTCACCTCTCTGTGGATCTCAGACACTGAGGTACCCAGTGCATCTTCTGCCAGCTTCCCTACACCAGGACTCCTGGGCAGGAGGTCGAGCTCAGGGATGCTGCCCCACACTGGAGGTCCCACATCCTCAGCCTGCCCTATCTGGTTCCTACCCCCACCCCCACCATCACCACCCCCTCTTGGCCGCCCTCACGCACTTGGACGGTGTTCATCACCAGGCCAGTCGCCATCATGCCCAGGCCGGAGAGCAGAACAGGCAGCACAACCTGACACGCAATGCTGAGGGAAGTCTCAGGGAAGACCCCATTGGGGGATCGGGTGATCTCACAGCTGAAGCCTCGCAGCTTCTTGCCATGAAAGCGAAACTCCAGATTCAGCTGGGTGACCGCCATCATCAGCCGTCCAGCACATTCGCAGCAGTAAGAGGTCCGAGCTGGGTGCCTCCTGTCCTCTCTCCTCCTCGTCCACACCAGGATGATTTTCTGAACGAGTCCACACAAATGGAGGCTTCCCAGTTGCCAGGTGCCCTGTGCCTGTGGAGGGCTCCCCAGTGTCCCCTCAGCCAAGGGCCAGAGCAAACAAGGGAGGAACAAAGGCCAGTGTGACTCAGAGCCTTTGCCAGCTCCTCTGTCCACTCCCCACAGGTCAGGTTCTCCGCAGACAGCAGCTGCCTGTCAGCTGGGACCTCCCTCTGCTAGCCTGCACGGAGGCTTACCGTCCCTCGGCCCTGACCTTGACGGTGTCCAGCAGCCCAGCCCACACTGGCTCAGGCGGGACAGGAGACAGAGCTCACGTGGGTCCTGGCCTTGGGAAGCACTCACGCGGAGGCCTGCGCCTCTCTCTGCACGTGTGCCCTGGGCCGCTCTACTTGGCAGAGAAGGGCCTGGAGAGATCTCCACACGAAGGACCTTCCTCACGCCAGCTCTACAGGCCCAAGGAGATTTATTCCTCAAGGTCAAGCAGTCTGCGGGTCCCCAAGAAGAAGGGGCTCATGGCCATAGGAAAAGGCTGTGTTCATGGAAGAAACGTAGCCCTGTTCTGTCTTGAAGGCCTGGAAAACTTTTAAACATGCTTCCAAAGTGACCTCACTTTCTTCTGCTTCAAAGGTCAGACCCAGTCCCGCTGACCACCCCCTGATTCAGGGCAGAAGGGGCTGGGGAGCCTCCTTTGACTCCCAGGATTCTGTTGCTGGGCATGTCCCCTGTGCATTCCACAGGTGCCAGGAACAGAATGTTCAGGCCCAAGGGCAGACCAGAGCAGGGACAGAGGCCACAGCCAGCAGAAGCCCAAAGCTGAGGGTCAGACTCACACCTACTGACTCCAGGGGCACCTGCCTGGTCTAGGGCTCACTTCCGATTCCTAAACCATCGCCCTCTCGGGCATCAGATAGTCTACCCCACACTCAAGTCCAAACCCCTTAGCCTGGGGTCCACAGCCCTCGCCAGTCTAGATCCTGCTGACCTCCCGACGAACTCCAGCCAAACTTCCCCAGCAACTGCTCCCTTAAGCCCCTGGTGCTCCTGTCACTGTGCCTTTGCTCATGCCTTCACTTTCTCATTTGGCAGACACTTCTGAGCCCTCAGAGGGCCAGGCCCTGAACTGCCATGGTACCCTCTGCACTGACAGCCACAGCTTCTGTCCCTGTCCTCTACTCAGCAATGGCTTGACCAGCAGGACACAGTGGAAGAGATGCTGTGCCAGCCGGTTTCTGGGCCTGGATCTTAAGAAACTGACAGCTTCCCCTTCCTACCTCTCTGGTGCTCCTGCTTGGAGCCCAGCTACCACGCTGCAAGGAAGACCAAGCACTCACACTGAGATGCCACACGCAGCGATCTGACAAATGGCCTCAGCTGAGGTCCCAGTCAGCCAGCAGCAACTTGCTGGCCGGGCGAGTAAGCCCCTGGATGGGGCCAGCAGCCAGCATGCCACCCGCAGATGCTGCACACAGCCATGCTCACCGAGCCCTGCACCGACTGCCACAACTTTCTGGTGTGCTTTGTCACATAGCAGTAGATGACTGGGACACTGGGGAACCTCATCCCCACCTGATTTTGCTTATTTCAGATATACCAAAAACTCCCAAATCTCTTTCCAGCCCAGACCTCTCCTCTGAGCCCTCAGACACATATCTAGGACAAGGACCTCAAACTCATCCAGTCTTTTATGACCATTTCTTCCAAACCTGCCTCCACCAGCTTCCTGCCTCGATGAGTGGTTCTGCCAGAAACGCAACCCCACATCCACCCTGCCTATCCCCAGATCTTTCCCACTTCTCTTCCCTCTGCTCCAGCCCATGGACACTACCTTCACCATGACCCTCATCACCTCTAACCCATCCCCCTGCCCAAACCGCTGCATGCTCCTCACATCGGCAACCCTTACGTTTGTGTACTCTAAGGAAGCTGCGTACTCAGATATCCTCATGGCTGTCAGCTCATTCCTGAAAAAGAGCCATTCGAGGACCTTCACAATCTGGTCATGGACCGCACGCCACAGAAGCACTTCCTAGAGACCCCCACGTGGGCTGTACCTGTGTCCCCCACCCCTTTTGCAGGCCAGCTGAGATGCCTCCTCATCTCTGAGGCCTCCCAGTTTCCCAGCCCCAGCCTGACAACTCTATCCCCAAAGATCCCCAGGAACTCTTTCTGAACCTCTCTGAAAGCAGGTGCCACATCAGCCTAACCGCAGGAATGTCTACTCCCACTTCCTTGAGTGTGCTCCTCCTCCTGAGAATGCAACAGGTGGAAATGCAGGACAGTGCCCATGGCCTGCCTCTGCACCTCGGCTGGCTGCTCAGCTCCTCCTGCTCCTCAGGCAGGCCTCAGCAGGTCGCCTAGCTTTGTGTTCCTCACAGACCTCACCGTGGTCTCGCACTGATGCATCACTCAACCAGGAGCACTGCTAGGGCAGTGCCTGTCTGTCACATGCACCCCAGCTCCAAGCACAGTGCCCGGATCTGGGCATACAAGGTACATGTTGCCTGAATGCATGAATGAACAAATACGTCAACAGAATTATAGAAACAAAGAGGGGAAAAACCCAGGCAGCATTTCCTGGGTTGAGTGGTGTGAGGCTGAAATGATGGTACTGCTGCTGCCTGGACGTCTGGTGAAGAGCCAAACTGCAAGTTCCCCTCCTGACTCTGCCCCATGGATAAGGTCCCCAGCCAAAAAACCCTCCTGCTCACAGGGCGGACACTGTTCCTCATCCCTGAAGGGCAGGCTGCAATCCCTGCCAGCCATGGGACTGTTCAAATGCACCAATCACGTCCTCCAGGAGCCAGGGGCTGCCACCCTCCCATCACTACAGGGCCTGCCTCCCACAGTCCTGCTGGTTTGTGCTGCTCCCAAGGGCAAGCTCCTGTGCAGCCCGCGGGGCATCCAGTGCCCTCTTCCCCAGGCTGTGAGCATGTGGGTCAATAAGCAGCTGTCATCTCACCTGTCCAGTGCTGGTGTCGTGTTCACCATCCCCATAACCCCAGGGGATCCGGAATCCCTCCCTCACCAATGGGGTGAAGAGGAGACAATCAAACAGGTTGGCCTTATCCGCTCCCACATTCCCTACAATCTCTCTGGCCTCACATAACTTCCCTGTAGGCAGCCCGCTTGCCCTCCTAGGCTTGCTGGGCTGCTGTGATTTTGTAAGGCCATGACCCCTGCTTCAAGACACTCCCTGTTCTTCACAGCATGTGTACAAAATGCTCATCCCACCCCACCCCCATGTGGCCCAGGATTCCTGACCACTGCACCTCCCTTTCTCATCTCCTGGAGACTTTTGGCATTCCTGCCTGGTCCCTGAATTCCAGTGAGTAATTCTGCTGGAGTTTAAGAAAAGGAGATTAACTTGTGTGAGCCCGGTCTTGCCAGGTGAGCCCTTAGTAGGGAGGAGATGCTTCCTGAAGTCAGAGATGGAGGAGAGAGTGTTCCGTGAAAGGGAGGTTTCTCCACTGCTGGCTTTGAAGATGAAAAGACCATGTGGCAATAAATAGGAGTGGTCTCGAGAAACTAAGAGCAGCCCCCACCTGACAACCAGCAAGGAAATGGGAACCTCAGTCCTACAACCACAAGGAACATAGACATAAGGAGGCAAATTCTGACAATAAGAATGAGCTTAAAAGTGGATTTTTCCCTCAGAGTCTCAAGAAGAGGACTCTGCCAGGCCAGTGCCTGGATTTCGGCCTTGGAGAAACTAAGCACAGACCCACCTACACTGTGCCTGCACTTCTGACTGACAGAACTGTGAGCTATCTGCTGTTTCAAGCTGCTAAGTTTGTGGTAAATTGTTATGCAGCAATAGAAAACTGATGCATGGACCAAGGATTGCAAAATCTTCTGACTTTTAAAGAGGAGCTGAATATATGGACTTCTGAAGAAAGCTCCCATTTAAGTGTTTGCAACTAACTGAACATTAACCAGCCCAACACACTCCCTACAGACCAGCACCATGCCTGATGGCCAGCTCTGAGACACATATGCAGAGATGGTGGCAGGGGGGTTTCCCTTATGTTGTACACTCCTTAATCTCTAACATGTGTGCCCTGTGCAGGCCCTTGCAGGGTGGGGACTTGTAGAAGAGGCAGCTTCTGTTTCTAAGGAGAACACAAGTTCAGAGCCTTAAAAGAAAAATTATGAATTTGACTACATTTTAAAAAAAAATGCATGCATGCACAGCAAAAACCACCAAAAGAAAAGTCAAAAGATAAATGGAAAAAATAAGAAACATATTTATAATCCATATCACAATTAAAGGACCAATATCCCTAATATATAAAGAGCCCTTAAGCAACAATGAGAAAAAAGACTACCACTCCATAGAAATTCTGAGCAAAGAATACAAACAAATTTCAAAAGATACTTTGCCCATAAGAAATGCAACTGCACCACAATGAACATTGTGGGAAGCAGCTCTCAGTGGTGGCCCCCATTGATCCCTGCCTCTTGGTACTGATGCACTCATGTATCCGCTTCCCCTGGAGTATGGGCTGAGCCCAGTGACCTGCTTCTAGCCAAGAGAAGCAAAGCTGAACAGATGTCACTTCTGTGACTGTTTCCTGTTCAGACTGCACACTTTGGTGAAGCAGGCACCACACTGGAGATGCCCACTTGGGAAGAACTAAGGCTGACCTCGGGGCAAAGCAGTAACTGAGGTCCTCAGTCCAACAACCCGCCAGAAACTGAACCATGAGAATGAGCTAGAAGATGACCACAGCCTCAGGAGAGACCCTGAAGCAGAAACCCCAGATAAACTGCACCTGGATTTTTGACCCACAGCAATCGTGAGATAATAAATGTGTGCTGCTTTAAGCTGCTAAGTGTTGGGTAACTTGTGAGGCAGCAACAGAAACTAATACAATGAAATGCAGTTGCCCATCTATCAAATTGTTAAAGATCAAAAAGGTTGAAAATAAACTCTGTCGATCAGTGCTGGAGAACAGGCATTCCACTATGGTACTGGAGGAAGTGTAATGGTTCCACCTCTAGGTAGGCAAATTGGTGGTGCTAAAGTCACAAATGTACACACTCTTTGACCCAGTAATTCTACCTGCAACAATTTATCCTACTGATTTACTCACACACCTGTAAAATGACTTACATCAAGACTATTCATTG